CTCGCCAATTACTCTTCGGATTTCTGTGATGGGAATTTTTGCAACCCTAAAAACACAATTTTCGATGACGCCAGTTTCTGGCACATCAGTTAAGCTTTCGGCTAATCTGCCAAGAATATTGCGCTCTTGTCCTGACCACAGTTATTTGTGGCATCGCTTCGGCCGAACTTGGCGCATTTATCAGTGCTTGGCGCCAAAATTCTGCGAGACCGCATCTTGGAAAGGTAGGCCGCACACGTTGAGCTGTGTTGACGCTAAAATAACTTCCCGAGTTCTAGTCTGGAATGCAGTCCCTTCCCCTGTCCAACAATTTCAGCTTGCCTACCTACTATCCGGTTCGCCAGAAGTTCGAACGCCTCATCTACCCTGAACGAAGTAGGCTTAGTTGAGGTTCGCGACTAAATAACTAGCACAAAATTAAGACGAGCGTCGTAAAAGGCCGTTTCCCTAGTCCATAACCTTCGAATGGGGTCCAGACTACGCGGTGGTGGCTGTAAAAACTTATTTTAAGGATGATGCATGTCAGTTTAACAAGTTCTGCTAAATCACACAGCTAATCTGTCGACGGTCCGCGACTATCCGCATCCTGCTAATTGTCACTGAGCATCCACAACAGCCCTTTCTTTCATCGGCAGCCATGGGTAGGCGTGACAGGCAAGCAGCAGCAGCCAGTCAGACAAACGATCTAGTCTTTCTACTGAACAGTGAGGAACCGGTTAAGGCAAGATGGCGCACATTGCGGACGCAAACCAATGTGCAAGGCTCACGCGATGACAAACCGGGTGAATGGTCAATTAGTCCCAACACTATCCAGCCTGTTTCACAAAAATGCACAGACACTTATCGAGAGGAGCAACCAGAAGTTGGCACCTAGTATCCATCTGATGAGAGAACCATTCGACACCCGTTTCATACATGCCTCCAGGGCCCCTTCGTCGATGCACAGACCGAAGCAGCATATGGTGTAGCTGACCCGTTACTAATTTCCTCTTCGTATAAACCAACTTCGGACAGGCCATCAACAGTGATAAGGCGATTACCAATACCACTGTCATCACTTACTGAATACAAGAACCATTAATTCCCGTCAATGTCGGGTGGTTACCCGACAGCCACGAAAGCATTTGCCTGCACAGGATCGTAGTCTAGACCCGTGGGACCAGATTAGCTTTTGGTAGACTTCAAAGCTGGTTGTGTTATCACCTTGCTCCAACTGTAGGATGTTCGGCGTTACTATGCTGGCCCCTTCCTGTGATCTGGAGACTCAAGTATAAAGACAGTAGCTGTGTTCGGCTGGTATACCCAAAATCTTCAAAATACCGAAATCCCGTTTGGGATGACCGGTCACATTCCGAGGTTGCCAGATCACCACCCGCCATAAGTAGTACGGTAACATTATAGTTGA